TCTAACACAGGTGATGACAAATTTGAAAACATCATTTTGCATTTGGAAAAGTTGCATCACGTCGGTCCCCGACTGCATCGTGAAAAAGCAGCGTCTTCTGTAGACATCGAATTTGAAGAACGAAAGTTGATCATCGATGCTACGTATGACGTTTTTTCAAAACCTTCGGATTTTACATAAACATAACAATTCAATATTGTGTACATTAATACCGGCTCAGCACTTCATGAGAACAGGTGCTAAAGCTGAGTACCTGTTGAAAACTCTTCTAATATCTGAAAATAGTACCGGGTGTCAAAGAACTGTTCACGTGAGCATTTAACTGTCCTATAGCTACCTTGAAGCGGTGTTGCTGTTATCTATGATTACTTCTGACTGGCAAGTCTGAAAGTGGGCAAAAATAACCATTACCACATTTTCTCTTTCACTCTGGTTTAGACATAATTGCGCAAACCACTTTTATCTGTCGCTGGGCAGAGTTAACACTTAACACCTTTAGCGATCTTGTAATATCATGTTTCATCATTTTTCCCTTTGAAACCAAGATCTTACCCATCAGGTTAAAACTGCCTCACGCAGTTGCAGTTTGACATCGTTGCGATGAATACCGCTGGGCTTAAACTTGCGCAAGGAATACCTATGCATGTCCGCGACAGCTTCTCAGCAACAGATTTTAAACTTCCTAAATGAAGCAAAAGTTTTAAAAGGAGTGTTTTTACTTGACTCTTAACGACTAAGATGTGTCAAGATTTTCGGTATCGTGTATCCCATACATCAGCTGCTTATTGCCTTCCGTGCCGTAAGCTATGGAATCAGATGTATCCGCTTCCGTCCTTGACTTTAGTTAACCGTCCACAGCACCCATCCCTGGTGTTATATTGGCACCGTGGAAATCGTTTTCGGAAATGGGTTCAAATGGTTCTTTCTGATATTTCAAGAAAACGGTACGAACGTACGTCAGAGCAGAGGTACTTGTATTTTGAATATACTGTTTTTAGTTTCATCTGTTGCTATGACATTTCAGGCTTTGAACAGCTGCCTAAAGTGCGTTGAAATGCGCCCTATGGATAAGTTTATGTATGAAACACAGCCCGGACTTTCAACTTAAATTGATCCTTACGTGCGATGCGCATCCTGAAGAATAGGAAGGACAGCGGTGCAGTAAAAATACGTTCAGCCATTGCAACCGACTAGGATTGTTGGAAAACAAAACGCAGAATCGGTGCAAAAGCTTTATTTATGGCGCTTATATACACATATATCAGGTGCCAACAACCAGAATTTTCTTTTTCGACCCACTATGAACCACCGTTCCGCTATGACGGATCGAGCGCTTCTGGCTGTTTAATGCAAATATTCTGTTTCTTCTTTGATCGGCTAACGCTTCCGGCCATCTTTTGCAGAAGAGCGCTTCCCCTTTGATTCCCCAACGTTTGCAGGGGCCCGACTGCCCATGCCTAATTTCAGCCGTTTGTCGCTGACTGTTGCATTATGTATCAGATATAATTCAATTAGTGTGAATTTGTTTCAATTAGCTGTTAATCCCCTTAAACACGAAATTCACCCAGACATCCTTGGGTGCAACCAGTCATGAAGCGTAGTAAGATCGTGTTAAAAATGACTGCTAACAAATGCAGACGCTGCATTGAGAAATAACGGTCGTCAGCAGGAGAGATCTGGAAGCAGTGAAGAAGCTAAAAAATCGTCGAAGGCTTCGAACACCATCACTGAATTTTACTCATTTTCGGTAGGTCCAAGAAAGCCCCTAGTATCAGTCAAAATGTGGGAGAGAGTGATCCAAAAAGAAATCTGCCTCATATTGACGACACGTGTTCATCTGTTTTTCGCCAAAGGTAGTAAAATCTCAGGGAAATAAGAACATCCCTAAAAGATTTCCTGTAAGAAAACGTTCCCAAAATGCCTTGTAATATCGTTTCATACGTTATCTCTAAAAACATATTCCCAGCGTTTTACCCGCGAGTAATATTGGGTCTCATTGATATATTACCCACTTTTTGAAGTTACTTGGAAAATATATACGGAATACCGACTACTGAAACAGTGATGATGAATGTGAAATCAGTTTAGCTACTGAAACGACGCAAGATGCGTCTATGAATTGCAACGCCATATTATGGAGAAACAACCTGCTTAAATGTCACCATATGCATATGGAAGCCAGCAAGTCAAGCAATGACAGATCGCAAGTCAGTTTGACAGAGTTATGTTTATTAACAACTTGTGCTGCTGAAACTGCAATATCTTGCCTAAAAACGGAAGCTTTCTAACTCAGCCGGAGCATCTACGATCGATCTAAACTAATTAATCCTCTAGAAACGAACCTTCTTACACGTGGCTGAGAACAAGCTATGTAAAAAGGAAGGAACCGTATACCAAAGTCAAGTAGAGTGGTACATTCTTCCTGGCTGATACGTTAGCCGCAAAAGCGTGTCATGAATCATCGTGGTACGACGATAATTGGTAAATGAAAGATTCAGTCATGCCTTGAAAATTACTATCCTTGACAATTGCTGGTGCTGACCTCAACCTATTCAAAAGAAAACGATTAGTGAAAAAGGGCATAACGATAACCATAAGAAATTCTGTCATCTAAATTTTGTTAGTCAACAAAAAAAACGAGGATGACAGCAACAACACTAGTAATCGATAACAGCATTCAAGCGATTCTCCGTGTCAGTGGTAACGACAGTGCGTAGCAAATCACGTATGTAACAGGTGCTGATGATCGGCACATACTTCACTGCTGAAAGGATTCTTATAAAAGAACCTTAAAAAGACCTTGTCCACGTCCATTTCTGGTTATAAATGGCGAGAAACGTGAAGGACGCCTAAATTCGACCTGATCACATAAACGAATATGTTCGTAAACTGTTTTTATACGACGTTTTTATAGGACGATTGTCAAGGTCACATCACTTCCATATCCATTGCCTGGTGGGTGAGCTTCTGTTTGGTGCTTTCGTTGCTGATTTGTTCCTCAGTAAGAAGTGATATGCCTAGTTGGTCTTCCTAAAAACCATTCATAAATTTGGTGATCGACAAAAACGACATATATATTCACGTTGGTAAACGGCTGCGCCATTTCACTGAAATATTTTTTAGAGATCTGTACGGTATCATCTATGCTTAAATTGAGATTAGACGGAAGTAAATGATCCTGAATCCAACGTGGAAGTTTGCTCCGCTTATCACTTCTCGAAAACCTCTAAAATAAGGCTGCAATTTATTTTGCAAATGCTTTACGTACCTTATCTGCAAAAACCATTATCCCGTAATCACTTTTCTCTCGCAACGCGCGACCAACGCATTGAGCCGCTTGTCTCATTGCATCAAAAGTGAGGAAGTCGTTTTCGTCTATTCCGAACTGGTCTCGTAGATACTCGAGCCGCGCACGCAGAATACGACTTTCTGTATAGATGTACGGAATTCCCAACATTAGAACCGCTCGTCCTAAAACAGTTATCCGCTGAAAAGCATGTACTTAAAGTTAAGTACAGAAATCAACTTAAACTAAATGAGTTTTACATGAAAACTATTTCAAATGAATGGTTACTCGCAGAAGAACATTCAAAGGTGAAAAATCTGATTCAAGCTGAAGTCGATGTCTTGACAATCACACTGTTCATCATCAGGGCACGCTCAAGATGGAACTGGTAATTGTCCTACGAAACCGCGGCTTCTCAAAGGTCGTTCGGCATCGAACCATCGCCATGTCAACAGCCACTGAATTAGCTAACTTCTTTGTTCTTAGAGGGCTTCTTTTTGAACCCCTGACACTAAACAGATACAAATCTTTGAGGATTTTAGCTGAAACTATTTCTTCATTTATGCAGACTTTGAACAAGTTCTATTTGAAATTTGGAAAGATTCTAGGACAAGTTAATGAAAAATTCAAATTTTAGCAATGCTAAAATTTCTGCGCTGAGTGAGCTGAAGAGAACTCGCATTCAAAAATCAATCTGAATGCGCGCGAACCTTAAGTTCAAAACAGTGTTAGTCCAGGAAATTTGGATATATTTCATATAACGATAAATTGAAATAGAGAGAATTAGAAACAAAAGAAAAGGTTCCTTCGTTCTTCCTGCGTGAACTGCTACCAAGCCGACAAATCACCTCAATGAAGGTGAACATATAATTTATTAAAATTCTTAGGTTTAATTCGAAAAATTTTTACATGAACGAAACAGGATAAGTGCTTACATTTTTCAAAACCAGATTTCACAGCATGTAGCACCGCTGCCTTGCTCCTAACTGCATTGAGAAGATGAGCATTCAATAAAGCCCAAATTCAAAGATATTCGTGCGTTTGCGGCGATAGATGAGATTGTTTCCAAGGTTATATACATCGAAAGGTATTGTTATAGTCAGTAAAATTAGTAGCTGGCATATGGCAGATTTATGGTTTCCTTGAAACCCCTCCGCTAGACAGCTGTGAGCAAAGGGGTGGTGCAATACACCATTAAATAGTCTTGGAGGAGTTGAGCATTTACTAACATACTCTGAAATACGAATTCATATTTTCGGCTGTTTCGTGAAAGCATAAAAGTAATAACTTTTCTAGAAATACCGCTGCGACAAGCAAGGTATTGTTCTAACCACGCAGTGATACATCTCGCGTCACTGCGTGGACCACAGCAATACTTGCAATATACACTGGCTTCCGAAACACCGCTTGTATGATATGCGCCTAGCACTGCAAGTGCTTCAATACAATGGAGCCGCGGCCGGATTCAAACTTCCTAGGCTATTAGGAGCAAGGGCTGGCGCACTGCGTCGCGAAACCTTGTTTTTGAGTCAAACATTAACATACTCTGATGTACGAGCCTATAGTCTTCGATGTTTTGAAAAAAGGAATACGATCGTATGATAACAGTAGCAGAATCTATAACACTATGTAACACTAAACTGTGACTCGTCGGAAGTCTCCCGCGAGATTCGTGCTGCTAAGTAGCGCTGGGTAGGATGCGCCATCTTTAAGTGTGCGTTGATTGGTGCCTTTCGCCACACAACCGCATTCCGGCCTAGATCAGATGAAAACGCTGCAAGATAAGGAAGAACCAGCAATCAATTAAGAGGTTAAACTGGACACGTTCAGCAGTGTAGATTATTATTCCGGTAAATGGTGTATGTGTATGTGTACTGAAAAAGAAAAAACTGGTTAAAGCTTTCTCGGGATAAAACGTAAAAATATTACTGAATAAATTATAAAGGGAAGCACCACTCATAAAACGTTTAATTTGCAAACTAATGTTTCTGGCGTAATCAATCCAGCTTCAAAGCAACAGTAACAAACACAGTGCACTGTTCTGCCGGCTAAGTTAAAGTGACAGGATTGAGTCGCACTTGTCATCAGTCTTGACGAATACGAAAAAACGGGAGGAAAAATGACCAAGTTTTCAAACTCCACTGTACACATGGCCGCTTCACGCAGGAAAAATGAGCGACCCCTTTGTAGAATGGATAGCAGCGTACTATGAACCTCATCAGACAGCAAGATGGTCCTGCCAAAGAAAGTGTTCTCTAACAAGGCAAAAGATAAAAGAAGCAAAGTAGGAATAACAGAATTGTCAAGGCTTGATAGATATAAAATTTAGCTCTTTTACAGCAAGCTGTAATTAACCAGTCTCCAAACTTACAAAAATAGATAAAAAGTATCAACCAAGGATAATGTTTTACTCATAAACTTAAAGAAGCGCTACTTATTCATGTAATCAGAGATCAATCGTGACCTGAAATCTGATGGCAGCAACAATTATACTAAAACAACAAACGGCATTTCAAGACAAATGAAGAGCCTAAGAACAGCAATCATGCCGGATTAAGTCGACCTGTATAAAATTACACCGTGCCTACTGTACTGTTTCTACGAAAATGAGCTGAGCATGGTTCAAAACGTCAGCATAGTTCGTAAAAGTTCTCATATTTGCAACACGTGCAACCACATAATTAACTTCAACAAAAATTTCCGTATTGTTAATTTCACAAACAGCTTCAAAGGTTAAAATGGCGCTAAAGCAGAAAAGATCGCGTTCAGAGTTAAAGGTTGATTAACAAACGATACCTAAATGGTGTGAGAAGTCAACGCCTTCAGAAATTTTTCCGCGAGCAACTGACATCATTACAGCTCCTCGACCGTTTTCGCAAGCCTAAAAGCGAAGCCTACTTACCATTGAAAGACAATTCAAACTGATGGAATTACTTTAATGTAGTTTTCCAATGCATACGTCGTCTCTACGATATCTTGTGTTTCAAAGAAAAGCAGCTTGTGTCTCATGATTTGGTCCACAATGCCCTAAAATCACAACGTGTAATCAAATGTACATGTTAGCTTTGTGAGAACAATCTACAGCCTGAAACTACAGCCGCTGCCGCACGCAAAGCATTAACAGTAACATCGAATTAGCTTTGTAGGATAGAGAGTACACATAGTCATATTTCCGTACCTGTCTATGCCACCATCTAATAGTGCTTTCCATATAACCGTAACTGGTGAAGAAGCAGACAATGCCGTCAGGAACAACTTTACTCAGTTCCAGCAATAAAACACCATAGTTTCGTACGACGGCGAGGTCCTCCCTGGATTCGAACTTGCTCGTGATTGCTATCTGATCGT